CCTCGACCTTTCCTGTGGTATCTCATGGGCATCTGCCAAAAAAGTATTCTTTCCATTTCGACTTAAGCCAAGGGAGGGCCAGATATCTACGCACTACTTTTTTGGAATTCTGGACTTTGAAGACAAATTTATATATGTGTATGATTCCATGGGCGATGCAACATACGAGCGTGCACTTGAACATGTCAAAATTTATGCCCAGTTGATTCCACACTGTCTCAAATGCTTGAATTTTGGGAAACATAATAAATTTTATGGGGACAGTTCTGTGAAAAAATTTCAAATTAAGTGGATGAATACACCGAAACAGACTACCAAGTACATGTTTCACATATGTTTTACCATGCATCTTATGTTTATTATTTTTGCCCTTGAGTTAACTATTCTTTAATTTCTTTTTCATGTGTCTTTTGCAATGTTGATTGTGGTATATTTGCTCTTAAGTTTATTGATATTCGGTTGAAGAGAGAAGATGTATTCAATTTCGATCAAAGTCATGCATTGGCATTCAGGAGAGAATTGGCTGCCAATCTTTGGGCTCATAGAAAGTGAAAAAAAGATAGCGGCTATGAAACTCCTGCAGAACGAGAAGGACATGATTATGGAGATTTTAAAGAGACTCTGTGTGAATTTTTTGATTAGAGGATTGGTTGTACATAATTTGGATTTTGTGAATATACATTAATTATTTTTTTAGTTCACTTTTTTATCATACAAATATGTTTGTGTCTTTTATCATGAATTTTAAGTACATTTTTTGTTTGAAAAAACTTAAGCATGACTTCTGCTTTTTGAGCTGAAATTTTGTTTAAAAGTCATAAGAAAACTATTGAATCCGACACAAAAACTTTTGCTTATCAGGTGCTGAAGTTTTTGGAAATATACTAAAAAACTTCAGCACATTGAGCCGAAGTTTTTCGAAAAAAGCTTTAGGAGAAAAACTATTGAATCCAACAAAAAACTTCAGTTGATCAAGTGCCGAAGTTTTTGGAAATATACTAAAAAACTTCAGCTTATAGGGCCGAAGTTTCTTGAAAAAGCTTAAAGCAAGAACAATTGAATCCACTAGAAAAACGCCAGCTTAACAGGTGCCGAAGTTTTTGGAAATATACTAAAAAACTTCAGCCCATAAGGCCGAAGTTTCTTGAAAAAGCTTTAGGACAAAAACTAATGAATCCAACAAAAAACTTAGGCTGATAAAGTGCTGAAATTTTTGGAAATATACTAAAAAATTTCAGCTTATAGGGCCGAAGTTTCTTGAAAAAGCTTAAGACAAAAACAATTGAATCCAATAGAAAAACGTCAACTTAACATGTGCCGAAGTTTTTGGAAATATACTAAAAAACTTCAGCCCATAGGGCCGAAGTTTCTTGAAAAAGCTTTAGGACAAAAACTAATGAATCCAACAAAAAACTTAGGCTGATAAAGTGCTGAAGTTTTTGGAAATATACTTAAAAACTTTAGCACATTGGACCGAAGTTTTTCGAAATAGCTTTAGGACAAAAACTATTGAATCCAACAAAAAACTTCAGCTGACCAAGTGCTGAAGTTTGTGGAAATATACTAAAAACCTTCAACTTATAGGGCCAAAGTTTCTTGAAAAAGCTTTTAGGACAAAAACTAATGAATCCAACAAAAAACTTAGGTTGATCAAGTGCTGAAGTTTTTGGAAATATACTAAAAAACTTCAGCACATTGGGCCGAAGTTTTTCGAAATAGCTTTAGGACAAAAACGTTAGCATGTTTTGGTATTTTTTTTAAGTTGATACTTATCTTTTTTCCATTTACTATCTACTTTTTGTCTTTTGTCAACTACTTCATCTTTCTTTTAAATTTGTTTGACCATATAGTAAATGATCCTAAAAGTTATTTTTCAGACTGAAATTTTTTTTACTATAGAAAAATTGTGGGTTTTACTAGGGCTGAAGTTACATTTCTTTTTGCATTGACAACATACTTGTTTTTACCACCTACTTATCTTGTTTCATTCAATTTCTCTGAACGTAAACAGTAAAAACAGCTGAAAAGTTACTTTTACATTTATAGATATTAAATTGATTAGTTGAACTCTTTGTCTATATTAACAATCTCTTCACTTGAAAATTTCATAGTCATTTATAGAGTTCTATCATATTTCTTTAAATTTGTATTCATCCTTAGTCTTTCAGCTTTTGTTAAAGAAAAAATATCTGGTGCAAGCGGAAGTGGGAAGCCTAATATGGATGAAATTATGCATAAGTGGGAGAGTTTGAAGTGTGAGTGGTACAATAACAAATCTATGTCTAAGCTTATGCTTTTGTGGGATCAAAATAAAGGCTGATTGGGAGAGAATCAGATCACAGTTTTTTTCCAATCAATCATTCCAGAACATGCTTAACATGGAACGTAGTTGTGGAAGTTATTCAACCTCGTTCGACAAGGTTGTGCAGCAGTTTGATAGTTTTCAGTTTCCCAGTTTTAACGACTATTCCAAGCTGAAAAACAACCTGAAGACTCTTCTTTCTCTTATGGACAGAGTAATCGTCGAACAAAGTCAGTTGCGTGATCAATTCAACAAGTTAAAGATTGATCTTCTTGGATTCAGTAGTCTTTTGCCCGACTACCCTATAGTTATCTCAGATAGTGATGATGATGAGATATTTAGAGAAATTGAGGAGTACTGTGATGATGACGATGATGATGGTGATGATTGTTAGTGTTTGTAATCCTTTTTTTATGTTTTCAATGCTATGCTTTTTGTTTACTTCAGCCCATAGAGCTGAAGTTTTTTAGGTTAATTTTGTATAA